CAAGTTGTCATTTGTCATCTGCAAAGAAGCTGCAGAGGCACAATGGGGAAAGGCTGGTCTCCAATAAATGCTGTGAAGAAAACTGGATGTCCATGTGGAGAAAACGCACTTGAAACCCTTTCTTAAACCATATTAAAAAACAAACTCTATTTTTTTTAAACAAACTATAAATTTATTAAGGACTTAAACATCAGACCTGAGCCTGTACAACTAGTAGAACACAAAGAAGCTGCAGAGGCACAATGGGGAAAGGCTGGTCTCCAATAAATGCTGTGAAGAAAACTGGATGTCCATGTGGAGAAAACGCACTTGAAACCCTTTCTTAAACCATATTAAAAAACAAACTCTATTTTTTTTAAACAAACTATAAATTTATTAAGGACTTAAACATCAGACCTGAGCCTGTACAACTAGTAGAACAGAACTTCTTGACACTGGTGTGGACAGCGATTTTTTTTTATATGTCTTCAAAAGGTTAGGCAACAAAAGCAAAAAGTAGACACATAGGATGGTATCACACTGAAAAATTTCTATGCAGCAAGGGAAGCAATCAGAAAAGCAAAGAGCTAACCTACGGAATAGGAAAAATATTTGCATATACTTGAAAAAGAGTTATATTCAAAGTACATAAAGAACTCAACTTAATTGCAAGAAATCAAATAACCTAAAAGAAAAAATGGGTAAAGGACCCAATCAATCATTTCTCAAAAAGAAACCGAGTTGAGCATGGTGGTAATTGCATCACTCAGGAGGCCGAGGCGGGAGGATCACTGTGAATTTGAGGCCAGCCTGGGCTACATAGAGAGACCTCGTCTCACAACAAACAAACAGATGGACAGAATGGCTAATGGTATATCAAAAAGTGCACAGGAGCTGGGAATCGTGGTGCATGTGTTTAATTCCAGCTACTTGGGAGGCTGGATCATGAGTGCGAGCAACTTATCAAAGGCCTGTCTCAAAAACAGGGCTGGGGGTGTAGCTCAGTGGCAGAGCGCTTGCCTAACATGCAGGAGGTCCTGTATCCCCAGTACTGGAAAAAAAAAGTGCTCAGTATCACTTAACAATTATCAGATAAATATAAATGAATACCACAGTGAGCGAGCATCACCTTGCACCTGCTAGGATGACTGGGATGAAAAAGACAAGAGACAACAGTGTGGAGAAGGATGTGGAGCAAAGGGAACCATTGTACATTGTTGGTGGGAAGGTAAATAAACAAAGTTACTATGTAAAAGCACTAAGGAGGCTCCTGAGCAAATTAAAAATAGAACCACTACACGATGCAACAGTCCCACCTCTGGGTATGTGTCCAAAGGAAACAGAATCAATGCCTCCAGGAGAGACCTGCACTCCCAGGCTTGCTGCTGGGGTAATCTCCACAGCCGAGGTGGGGACACAGTCTAAGGGAGTGTGATGGAATATTGCTCAGCCTCAGAGAAAAGCCAGGCCAGGTGGCGCATGCCTGCAGTTCCGGCACTCTGGGTGGTTGAGGCAGGAGGACTGCCATTTTGAGGCCAGCCTGGGAGATTAGAAACTTAGGGAGATCTTGTCTTAGAAAGAAGGAAGAGGAAGTGCTGTGGTGTGTGCCCAAGTGTGTGTGTGTGTGTGTGTGTGTGTGTGTGTGTGTGTGGTCCTGGGGTTTGAACCCAGGACCTTCTCACTGAGCCACCCCTAGACTGTTTTATTTTGTATTTTGAGACAGCATCTTGCTGGGCTGCGCTGCCCAGGTTGAGCTCAAACTCGTGATTCTCTTTTTTTTTTTTAATCTTATTTAATTTTTAATTAGCATGTCTGAAGTACATAGTGTTTGCATTTCTTATGTAGAGTTGGTACCTGTATGATACATCTTTAATTCCTTTTTCATTCCCCTCCCCTCCCTTTCCTCCATCTCCTGATCCCCTTCCCATTTCAGAAAGATCTCCTACTTCCTATTATCTATCTTTCATTTTGTTCTTACCTATAACTTGGGTGTCTCAAAGAAAAACCATCTGATATTTAAGCATGCTTGTTCGATTTATGTTACTTAACATTAAGGTCTCAAGGTGCACTCATTTTTCCACAAATGACTCAAGTTTATCCTTCTTTATGACAGAGTAGTACTCCATTGTGTGTGACTACCACATTTTTTTATCCATTCACCTATTGATGGACATACAGGCTGCTTCCGAGACTGAGCTATTATGGATTGTGCTGCTATAAACATGGGAGTGCATAGATCACTGTAATATGATGTCTTCAGCTCTTTTGGGAAGGCACCCAAAAGAAGGGGAATAGCTGGCCATCATCAAGAAATCAAAGAAGGCTGGCAGGCCTGTGAAGAAAAAAACCTTCTATACTTGGTGAGACGTGAACGGGTACAACCCGCTGTCGAAGAAGTCTCTGTGGAGAGTCTAGAACTAGACGAGACGCTAAAACTAGACATAGCACTTGACCAACTACTCCACCTGTGGTCCTCCTGCCTCAGTTTCCAGTGTTGGGATTAGAGGCACCTAGCACAGCTCCTGGCTGGAATCCAGGGTCACTGAGGCGGGGATTGTGAATGACTCATTCGCAGCTCTCCCTCCCGCTCCTCCGACCACACCTGGGAGGTGCTCGGAAGACCTACCCTGCCTGGAACGCCCGTGACAGCAGCAGTGAGAATGACAGCCCTGAGACACAGGGTCCACCGGGCCAGCGCACCTCGGGAGCCACCCACCGGGCCCACTGGGGTCCCATGGCTGTGGGGAGGGGAACTAGGAGTGGAGCGTGGAACTGGGTCTCAGGAGGGGATGGACTCCGCTGAGGCCACTCTGGGAGAGAGGGGGCGACGTTTGCAGTTTCCCAGAAACAGTAGCTCTTGAATCCAGCAGAGGAGGAGAGGCTCAGAGGCAGCCCTGGTCCAGGTCATACTGCAGGGCACCAGGCACGAAGGGGCGGCTGGTCCCCAGGAGCCACACCCATCCAGCCAGCTTGGCACTGGTCGGAGCACACGGGGCCCTGTGCACGAGCCTCTCCGGGGCACTCAGAGAAAAGAGGAGAGGAACTGGGGTGTACGGTTTTTATTGATGTTTGTTGGGATTTTAGACAGTAAGAGTTTTGAGGATTGTCTTCTTAGGGACAGTGCCAGCACGCACGGTCCCGTCTGTGCCCAACGGGTCCTGAGTGATGGTGACCTTGTGGGGGTGGGGGGAGAAAACCTGACCAACTGCTCCGGGAAAGAGGGTCAGGATGTAGGGCCCTGCACTGTTCTCTGGACCCAGCTGCGGTACTTGCACAGGTTGGTGTAGACCCCTGGGTAGCCAGCCATGGCGCAGCGCTCCATGCCCCAGGACACGAGGCCCTGGAGCTGTCCTCCACACACAAGGGGTCCGCCAGAGTCACCCTGAGGAGGAGGAGGAGGAAGGACAGACATGGAGACCCTGGTGTGGATGGGGCGTGAGGTACGTCGTTGTCCTCCCAGCACTAAGCCCGGTGGAGCAGGCCCGGCTCCCTCCCGCTGGGCCCCGTGCTGGCCTCTGTCCCTCGGCTCTCTCTCGGGGCTCCTTGCATTTTGCTGTCCTCCCGAACACGGTGTGTGTCTTTTTTCGTCTCCCCCACCTCTGCCTCTCTCAGAGGTGCACTCAGGTCTCCAGAGGTCCCAGCACAGTTTCCCAAACTCCCCTACAGGGGGCGCTGCTCGACGCCCAGTGGACCGCTGCATCCAAGTCCACCGACCCTAAGGAGTGCTGTCCTCTCAGGAGGAGGAACTGAGGCCTACAAGGATAAAGTCTGAACGGGTGCAGGCCTCTCACTCTCTGTCCCTGGGGTGTCCTTTCCCATACACCCCATCCGCTTTTCTGCTCCTGAGCTCCTAGACCCGAACAGCCCCCCATCCAGCTCCCGCCTGGCCTCACCTGACAAGAGTCCTTGCCGCCCTGGGGGACCCCAGCGCAGACCATGCCGGCAGTGATGGTGCTAGGATAGGCCCGCTGGCACTCGCCGTCCGAGACGATGTTGATATTCACGCATTGCAGAGCATTGGGGTACCTGGCTGAAGGTGGGGGGCACCAGAGGTCCTGACTGGGGTCTACTCTCCCTTAGCTCCCGCTCAGACCCGGGCTCCGGGCCCCTCCTGCCGGGATTCAGCCGTCTTTACCGATAGGGCTGGACGTAGTGCCCCAGCCGGACACATGGCAGGACGTCCCAGGGCTGGCGCAGGACCCGGCCAGGCCGATGGGTCTCACCGCTCTCCCAATCCGCGCTCGCCGGCTCAGCCACAGCAGCATCAGGTCACTGTCGTGCGTCCGGGCGTTGTAGCGGGGGTGCGGCACCTGGCGCTCCACACGCAGCACCTGCTGGGTGGCCTCCCACCTCCTCAGGTTGCTCTTACCCAGGGCAACGTGAAGGATCCTGGCCCGCGGCCCCCAAGAGTAATGCTGTTTACAGTCCGACCTGGGGACCCCTCCCCGGCCCACTTCTTCCCCTGGTGACCAGTTTTCCCCTAAGTCCAACCCTCCCGCCCCTGCTGCAGGCCGAGCATTGTCTGGGCTCCGGTGCGTCTCTTGGGCCTGGGCTGTTTCTCTTGGCCCGGCCTCCCCTGGGGCCCCTTGCTCTGGGGCTGTGCTCGGGCTCTTTCCTTAGGTATGAAGTGAGGGTTAGAATTCTTGGCTAAATTCCAGTGTCTGTCCGAAGCTCTAGACTCCTAAGTTATGGATCCGAGCTCTAAATCAGAACTGATATTCTGGAGCCAGCTCCATCCTGCTTCCACCTTGGGCTCCGGGCTCCAGACGTGTTCTAGTTTTGACTCTAGGTTAGGATCAAGATTCTAGATCAAGTCTGGATTATGGCATAATTTCTAGATTCTGATGTAAGCTTTCTGTTTTAGGATGAACCGGGGGTTTTATTTTGAGCTCTGCACTATGGCTTGGGTTTGGGTTCTAGATTCTGCTGTGAGCTTTCAGTTAAAGGGCAGGCTGTAGATCCCACGTGAACAGGAGACTGAGATCAAGCTCTGGGATCTTGACAAACTTCTTATGGTCTGGGTTTTAGATAATGGCTTGAATTCTGTGATCAGGTTGGGCTCACGGTTCTAAACATTGGTTTGAGCTCTTCTTTATAGGACAGATTCTGTTTCAGACCGAATGACAGTTTATAATCTGGGCTCTTGATTCTAGACTGGTCTGAGCCCTTGACCTTAGGTGTTCTCAAGGTTCTAGATGGAGTTCTAGGTTATGGTATGAATCCAAAGATCTAGAGAGCAATTTAAACCTGGGAGTTGTGTTCTAGAGTCTGTTCTGAGCTCCATTCTCTAGGTTCTAGACTGAACTTTGGTTTATGGCATCAGAGCTAGCTTACAGGCACTGGGTGGCCTCTAACCTGGATTTTAACTTCAAGGCTGGCGGCTGGGTTTTAAGCTCTGGTCCAAAATCTGAGAGGGGTTCTGGATTGTTAAGGAGCTTCAGATTATCATCTGAATTCTGGAATTTAATTGTGAGTTGGAATCTGGGTCCTAGACTTCTCAGGGGGAGCTGTAGGCTAGCTTTTGAATGAAGCCTGGGATCTGGAACAGGTTCCAGGCTGTGGTGCTAATCTTACAGTCATGTGTTCCAGCTGTAAAGTGGCTCTGGATTTATGTCTAGACTGTATTTTCTGATGTGGGCTTTGGGTTCTGGGTAGTGTTCTGAGTTCCTGAATGTAGACTGTGCCCTAAATCCAATTGCCAGTCTGGAACGGGCTATGCTAAGTCTCAATATGGAGCTTGGTCACTGGATGGATCTCCAGGTTATGTGTTAATCTCTAAACTGGTTTATGGGTTCCAAGGTGTCAACTTGCTTTCAGAAACTAAACTGGGTTCAAGATGAATGGGCTGGATTCCATATTCTGGGCTATATCTTTCACACTAAGATGTTCTCTAGATCCCAAATCAGGATCCAGCTACTCTGCTGAGTTCTACACAGGGCTCTGGGTTCTCAGCCCAGCTCGGGGGCTCTAGACCAGTCTAGAACTCACTCGGCATAGCAGTGGGGAGGGGATCACTCACGGGCGGGCGCAGTGAGCAGCAGTGATGACCCACTGGTCTGACAACAGGACCCCTCCACACAAGAACCGACGCCCAGGCCCCGACAGAAGAGCCACCTGCCACGGCTGGGAGTTCTGGACGCAGGTATAGCCACCAATTATCTTGTTATCGTCCTCTGGGCTCTGGGCCATGGCTGGGAGTAGACAGGGATGGGATGGAGAAAGCAGGTGAACGCACACTCTCCACCCCCAGCTCCCTGGAACGTCCAGCGGCCCAGGTGCCTTCCTTCCTGTCCAAGCCTCAGGCCACTCTGTTTCTTCCCCACCCAGCGGACTCCAACATTACCCCCGCCATTGCCCAAGACAAGCAGCGAGTCTGCACCTCTCCCTCAAGTCACCTTCGTGGCATCTGATGCGTCCACAGCCACCGCAGCCCCTACAGCCTTCGACCCAGCCCAAGGGGATCTCTAGCCTCACCGCTCAACATGCCAGTCCCTCCGTCCTCCGCAGCATGGCCCAGGGGCTCCCGGCTCGTCCCCACCTCCCCACTCCACGTGGCCCTCCAGGGTCCCACTCCCTCCACCCACCACGCACAACCACCCCGCCATGGCCACGGCCCCTCCACCTTCCTGCTGACCACAACCACTTTCCTGCGTTACTTCTCTGCTGACCTGCTCGAGGAGCGCTCTGTGGGACCCACACAGGACCTCAGACTTTCCCCGGTTCCTTGTTTATCTCACCGATCCCCTACCACGGCCTGTCCGCAAGCCCACCATTTCCGGCCACCTGGAGTCCCGCCGTCAGCCCCGCTCTCTCTGCAGGCCGCCCCCCAGCACCCTAATTCCCACAGCCCTTCCCCAGCTCTTCCCAGACCCTACCCAGGGGCCCGACCCGTTCTCTTACCTACAGCCAGGACCCGGAGGGCTGCCAGCAGGAGGAACATTCTGGGGCTGGCGAGGGCTTGGCAAAGGCAGAGAGAAAGTGGGACAGAAGGGAAGCCACAGAGGCCAGGGCTGAGGCAGCGGCAGGGCCACTCACCCCGAGACCCGGCCCGCGGAGACACTGCCAGGGCAGGGTCTGCAGGAGGATGCTGGGCCCCCGGTCCCCGCCTGGTGGCGCCACTCCCTGGTCCAGCGGGCGAAGCCTTTTATCCCCGCTCTGGGCCGCGGGCCCTGCCCCCGCCGCCCTTCTCACATTCCATTTTTATTGTCTGGTTTCCCTGCCAGGATTCCTGCTTCCCCTCTGCCCTTCCGCCCCTTTCTGGTCACAGAAGCAGCCACAGGTATTAACGAGCACCCGCCCTCGGAAGATGCTATAATTTGGGAGGAATCTGGGAAGGTCGGCCTGGGGCAGCGTGGAGGGGAGGGCGCCCGTCCGGGAGGCCTAGATTTGGGGGTGAAACCGGGGTGGGGAGCTCAGCAGAGGGGCTGGGATGCAGGAAGCCGCAGGAGCAGAGAGAGAGGCTGGGGTTGAAGGGGAGGTGAGCTGTGAAGGGAGAGACCCCAGGGCAGGGGATGGAGGCCGAGGGGCGGTGCTGCAGGGGAGAGGACGGGGAGGCCCAGAGACTGGAGAGGCCGCCAGGACAGGCGGGAGGCAGAGAGGATGCGGCCCCCGCACGACGGCGGCAGCGGGACGGAAAGGGACAGAGGCGGAGAAGGAACTGGGACAAATGGGAGAAAGGAAGGCACAGGACAGGACAGGCAGGTGTCCCGGAGCAATGGTTCCAACCGGTGAAGGGGACACAGACAGAGGGGCTGGGCATGCAGGGGACGGGGAGATGGCCCAGGATGGCACGGGAGGAGCAGGGACCTCAGCAGGGAGGAGGTCAGCACCAGGAGTGGCGGGCCCTAGCGGGGGCCTGCAGAGGTGTGGGGAAGAGCGGGGTACACAGGCCGGGCCAGAGCTGGAGGCTTGGGGAGAGGGACAGAGCCCAGGGAGAGGGTCAGAGGCCCAGGGATAACAGGCAGTGGGGTGATGAGGTGGGAGAAGGTCCCGCCCGCCTGTAGGGGGCCCTAGGCCTGGGGGCTCCCTCCTGTCCTGGGGGGGCCCTGCTCTCCACAGCCCCTCCCCCAGCCTCTTAAACGACCTAATGATTGTAATTTGTCTCTGGGCCTGGGCAGCCCCGTACCTGGGCCACGCAGTGACTCAGGAGGCTTCTGCCCGCGCGGTCCCTCATCTTCCCCGGGACGGGTTCCCAGCCACTTTCTTCGCGGCTGTGCCCACAGCCCCAGCCTTTTTCTGCCCGGGCACTGGAGTAGAATCCTCTGGGAACACAGGGATGGGAACGTAGGGATGGGGGGGCATGAGGAGCCGAGCTGCAGCAGTGTGAGGTGTGGGTCAGTGTGTGTGTGTGTGCACGTGTGTGCGTGTGGTACTGGGGAGGAACCCCAAAGCCTTCACACTGAGTTGCATCCCCAGCCTTTTTTATTTGTGCATTTTGAGGCAAGGTCTTGCTAAATTATTCAGGCTGGACTCAAACTTGAGGTCCTCCTGCCTCAGCCTCCCAGACTTCTGGGATTTCAGGGGTGCAACCCCCCTTGAGGTGAGCTGTGGGTCTTGATGTGGGAGTGGTTATCAGAATCCACACTGGGACGAAGTGATGCGGAACCCCACCCAGGTGGGTGTGTGCTCCCACAAACAGACCCAGCTAAGCGGTGGATGTGGGTGAAGCCTGCGGTCTACGTAACAGCGTGGCACCCACGCGGGCTTCCTGGTTTTCATATCCAAGACGGCCCCATCCGGGGAAGGCACGTTGGGCTCTGTGTTCTGCAGGTGTGGCTTCAGCTGAGTCTGTAATGAACTCAGAAAGTTAAACACAAAATAGAATTCTTCTTCCTAGAAAGGGCTGAGCTTAAGGGAAGGCCCTGGTGAGCCCAAGAGCGACCGGGAAAAGGCTGGGAGACGTGAAGAAGACCCTCCAAAGGGCTGCGGGCAAACAGGCGTCCGCCAAGGTGGCGGGGGTGTGCCTGTCGGGGGAAGACTTCGCAGCAGTTTGGTGACAGAGCTCAGAGTGCCGGACAGAGTGGGGGCCCAGACGGGCAGGGGCTGGAAGGGGCCAGGAGAGAGGGCTGCTGGGAGGAGAGGCGGTGACCCGGGAGGGAGGCTTGGGCCGGCGGGGGAGAAGGGGCGCAGACAGTAAGAAAGGAGCGGCTGGGGAGCCCGAGAACAAACAGGAGAACACACAGAAGTTTCCTGAGTGCTCTGCACAGCCGGGCACTGTGTGAAGTCTTTTCTGTTGCTGCTTGCCGTGTAGACGTCTAAGAAAATCACAACCCTTTGTTGTGGCACAATGTTCGTATGTTTATGATTTTAGCCATTTTCAGTGCAGCTCACTGGGGCTGAGCACACCCATCTTGCCTGCAGCCGCACCACTGTGCAACTCCCCAAAACATTTTCATGGTCCCCAGGGAAACCCGGCCTCCATTAAACAATCACTTTCTGCTTCCCTCCTTCCAGACCCTGAAACCATTTCTCCTTCTCCATGAACTCGACTCCTTCAGGTGCCTTGTGTAACAGGAATCATAATGTTTGTCCTTTCGTGGCTGGCTTATTTTACGTAGCATAATGTCCCCATGATTCACTCAGGTTGCAGCACTTTTTAGAATTTCCTTCCTTCTAAAGGCTGAGTGACGTCCCCGTGCGGACTTAATCACATTTTGTTTATCCAACTAAATTCTCTGTGTGGGTTAGCTTGCTCCCTCCCTCTTTTCCTTCCTCACTCCTACCTGCCTTCTTTTTCTTTCCTTCCCTCATTTAACAAGTATTTGAGTTATCTACTGTGCACCCACCCACCCACCCCTCATGTTTCTAGTTCCAGGGAAAACAGTAATGAACAAAACAGACCAAAAATATTCTTGAAGCGCCTCCAGTTCTTGAAGAGCCTCCAGTTCTTGAAGACAAAAAGAAAGGTGAATACAGTACATAATGTTAGGAGTGACAAGTGCTTAGGAAAGAAATGCACACAAAGGCCCTGTGGTAAGGTGCTCTGGTGAGTCCTCAGCAAGACCAGCGTAGCTGGAGCAGGGTGGAAGATGGTGTTGAGGTCATGGAAAGTCTGGGTTCCACAGGATACACAGTGCGTTGCCCCTGCTGCACAGACTGGGAAACTGAGGCTCGTCCGAGGCCACTCGGTGGAAGGCAGCACGCACTTTCCACACTTGTCCTAAGCCTCCCTTCTCTTGGCCCCGCACACGCACTTGCATGTGTCCAACAGGATTTGAATGCGTTCCAGATGAATTAACTCAGGAGCCTTCCCTGCTGGTGCAAGAACTTGGTGTTCCTGTTACCCGGTGGCCCTCGCCATAGGCACGGAAAGCGAGATGGCACTGGACCATTCCGCAGGTTGTGCAATGCGAAGAGACGGCTGTGGTGGTGGGGCCTGGGGTCTCGGCCACGGGGAGGTGGAGTCTGGGAAGCTGGGAGCCCCTCTGCTCACGGCCCTGACTCCCTGTGCCTCCACGTACCGGGACAGGCAGGTGGCCCAGGGGCCGGCACACACGGTATTCGATCTTCAGGAAGGCCTTAGAGGCCCAGGACTCCTGGGTGCTGAGTGCAGGGCGGAGACTGGCTTAACGGAAGCAGGCCGTGCAAGAGGCAGAGCCAGGACTCGAACCCAGATCAGCTGGGTGCTAAACTCCCCGACAGTGTCTCCCGATGGAGATGGAGCCCTGGCCCTAGGACAGGGTGTCCAGAGACGGTGTGTGTGGGAGGGCAGACAGATGCCCCTCTGCCTTCCCCGGGTCCCAGGGGCTCTGGCTTGGTGAGATTTTAGGGCTCCCCATGTGCTGTGCCTCAATTCTCTTTCCACCTGTGAGACAACACCTGGTGCCAACTCCCAGGTGAGGAGATGGGGCGGGGCCAGGGCCAGGTGCCCGCTGCTGCAGGGGAGCGAGCGGCAGGGCTGGGATTCCAAGCCAGCCCACCTGACACAGCGCCACTGTGCTTCGGTCCCATGCGGCTCTCCGGCCACCTCCTCGAAGTGTCGGAGTCAGTACCTCAGCTGCCAGGCGCCTGCGTGTGAACCTGGGGGCCCTGGGGCGCCTCCGTCTCTGACCCCACCGATGCCCGCCCAGCCCTGGGTCTCCTTCGTGTCCTCAGCTGCTCAGACCCCTGCCTCCTACCTCACAGTCCCCTCACCTTCGCTCCGGGACGGGGACAGCGGATCCACCCTCCTGTCCTCTCGTCCCCTCGCCACCGCCCATGCCCTGACCGCTCACCTGCACAGGCGGGACGGCATCGAGCTGGTCATTGCCACTTCCACCCTCGGCCGCCCCCCGCGGCTCCAGGGCATCGTACGCATCTCCACTGCCGCTGTAATAAACCCAGGCAACCGCGGCCCGCACCTGCCCTTCACCTTTCCGTAGGAACTGTGCTAGGCCCTCGGCACCTCTGAGCCCCTCTGAGCACCATCCGGCTGGTGCTCTCCTGCCTCAGGGCTGTTCCCACTGCCCGGGACTCACTGCCCACCGCTCTGCCCTTTCTCCTTCAGATCTCAGCTTGAGGCTCGCTTTCCCTCACCAGCGTTTGCTTCCAACGCGTTTCAGCCCCAGCCCGTTTCCTCCCTATTCCTTAATCTGTAATTGCTTCAAATTTGCTCCTTCTTGTGGCTGCATCTTCGTCTCTGTGGCACTGAGTGCTGCTGGCTACCCTCGCGTTTTACTCAATTACTCTCACAACTCCTGCCTCCCGAGACACGGCATCAGCTGACGGGGCCAGGGTCTGCAAGGCTCCACCCCGAGCCCCAGGCCTCAGTCGCACACTGGGGATTCGCGAGGACAGTGGCCTCTGCCTCCCCCTGCACCTGCCGGGCCCCAGAGCCTGGCCTGGTGAGAACAGGCCGCGAGAACGAGGCCACCCGGAGCCTGTTTCTCCCAGAACCTCTGCCTCCAAGGCTCTGCTCCCGCCTGCCTCGTGAGGCCTCCGGTCCTCCCGCCTGGGACAGCACCCGGAGGTGGCGGCGGGGGAGCCCGCTGTCCCACGCTGACACCCTAATGTCGGCCGGGGTGAACGCTCCCGAGCCCAGGGCCACTGCCTCGGCTGACACAGGGCGTCCGTCCACAC